AAAATCACATAGCTGTTTCAGATTTCAAATGATTTTCTGCCACTCTGTGGGGAATAGTATTCATTGCAGGACTGAAAGTAGCAAAAATTGCAACTGTGAAAAATCTATGACTAAAGATGAACTTGTGAACAGGAGCATGGCCCAAGACGTTGTTTAGCTAAAGCTCTGTTGATTAGTTTTCTCTGTTAGCTACCTAACAAAATTCCTAGAATAGGAAGAAAATAATAATACCTAACACTTACGTGGGATTGTAATATGCCAAGCACCATGTGTATTTGTGTGTTTGTGTATGTGTGTGTATATGACTTTATTTAATCCTCACAAAAATTCTATGAGTTATTTTTTCCTCATTCTATAGATGAGGCACAGAGAATTTAACCACCTGTAATGGTTAAATGTTAGGTGTCAACTTGGCAAGACCTTGATTCTCAGTATTGTGTAATTGTCCTCCATTCTGTGTGTTGTAAATCCTAAACCTCTATATGTTAATGAGGTAGGATTAGTGTGAGGTGTATCTTAAGTCAGACCCTTACTAAAGGGCATGACTCAAGTCATAGTCTTACTCAAGTCACACCCTTAGTATCTGATATAAAAGGAGCTTCCTTGAGGGTGTTACCTACATCCAATATATATGGATGATCTGGCCAAGCTCGCTCTTGCTCTGGATCCTGCCTCAGGTTCATCATCGTCTGACCTCCGGTTCTTGAAAATTGAGCCAGTAGCTTGCTGTCTGACCTGCAGATTCTGATATTCACCAGCTTCTGCAGCCCTGTGAGCCAGCAGCCTATCATCTGACTGATTTGCCAGCTTCTGCAGCCCTGTGGACCAGCAGTTTGTCATCTGACCTGCTAATCAGCCCCTGCAACCACGTAACTCAGGAGAAGCCTCCAGCCTGACATCTGACCTATGGTTTTGGGACTTGCCAGCCGCCATAATCATGTGAGCCATTTCCTTGAGATAAATCTATCACTGGTTTTGCTTCTATAAAGAACCCAGCCTAAGACACACCCACCAAGGTCACATAGTTTTTCCCAATGATACCGATTTTTTTTTAACTTTTCCCTTCCCCCTCGTGTTTCACCATTTCCTGATGCATTACACAAATGCTTGCCCAAAGGGCCCTTGAAATGATTTAAGGGAATGAAACTCTCAAAGGCATTACTATGTTGCTGGCTTTTCCCAGACTAACCTTATTTCCTTGAAGCTGTAAAGCAGCTTTGTTACAGAAAGTATCATCCATGGACCTGTGCCGTTCAAAGAACTGTCTGAGACAAAGAAATTTGAGAGTGTTTAGAAACCTTTATGGCAATTTTACAGCTGTTGACTTAATAATAAAACTTTTTGACATATACTTGGTATGCCTTTTTGTTTTATTTTGCTAATATTTTGTTTATTTTTATTTTATTTCACAAAAGTATGGTCCGCAACAAATTGGAAATTAAAAAAAGAAAAGGTTGTTCCCATCAGATAATTTGAGAAGCACTGCTCTACAAAATTCACCGAACTACGCATTCTCTGACGTCTACCTGCCCAAAATGAGGCTTAGATACTTTTCCTCCCCTCTTTTTATCACTTTCATGCAGGGGGTACATACAGCAACTGAACTTTTTCAGCTTCTGGGGTTTATTGGGAAGCTGCTGTACCATTGACTGTGGGTTGCCGCGAGGCAGGGACTTTATGACGCTTGGAAACTAAAGGAACGGGTGCGTGCCACAAATTTCTGTTTTAACAGGGTATTGTATGAGGTGTTTGAATTTGGGGTAGGAAAAATAGAAATTTTGAAAATTTTTATTTGTTACGCTTATGTACCAATAGACCGCCAGCATGGACTCTGGGGTATAATTAGCGATACATCAAATGTGCCACTAGACCCTTAGGGGAGGCTTGGGGGAAGGAGCAAGAAAAAAAAAATTCATACTACCTACCAAAAACTCTGACACAAGATTCAGCAAACTTCCATTAATTAAAACACATGGTATCAAAAAATAAATTTAAAGCAGAAACTAATTGGGTCACCAAAGAGATATCTAGTTTATAATACAGTTATTATAATTATCAGTAAAGGTAAGCACAATGAAAATAATGGCTCTCGGACTTAACCGCCACACCTCAGCAAAGAGGAAACGGTAAGGAAGCGCCACCAGCCTTAAAGGCGCCGCCAATAAGGCGTCGACGCCGTGGCCCGCCCAGCGGGAACGCGGACGGCCGCGCGTGCGCATGCGCGGGCATTAGCCCGCGCCGGTTAAGAAGGGGACCCCCCGTGGGCTTCGGGAAACGCCCCGCCTCCGCCTCCCTCTCTCTGGCGCTGCTCCTGGAGAAGGGCTGGATGCAGTCACTTCCGGTGTCGCCGATCTCTGTGTCCGGGTCAGCGCTGCCGCCGCTGCGGCCGGGGGTCTGGGCCCCCGTCTCCGCCGCGCACCGAGGGGAGCGGGCTCCGCTCGGCGCCGCCTTCTGCGACCTGGCCGTCCGCCCTACGTCGCCGGCCTGGAGAGGCGAGGAGGACGAAGGGGCCGAGGCGTCCTCCGGGGTGAGTGCGGCCTGAGGGGGCTCGGCGCGGTGTCTGGGCGAGGAACGAGCCTGCGGCGGAGGATGTGGGGGCGCTGGCCAGGGCAGCCGCGGAGAGGAAGCCCGGGGGGCTAGCCGTCGGAGGGGCGCTGTAGACGCTGCCCTGGAGGCGCTTCCTCTGTCCCCGCCCGGCTGAGATCCCCGCCCTTGGCTCGGCTCCGGTCTGCATTTGGCAGCCTTGCCCCGCACCCCTTTCCGTGGGTGGTGGTCGTGGTGTACGGGGTGGAGCCTTCTCCCTCCCCGGACCACCCTTCCGCAGCCTGAGGCGGGTGCAGCGCGGGCCTCGTGGGTCCGTGTTTGTGACCAGCGTTGGTCCTGGTGCAGAACAAAGAAAACTTGGGCTTCTGGTGTGCCTCGCACCCTCGGGGAATAGACACGGAAGCGGCATTTGTCATCGGGGCTTTATTAAATCTTCCTGAGCAAGCCAAACCAAATGCAGGGTGTGTACGTGAAAAGCCGAGTCCCTGCGTGGATTCAGACACTCTGCCCTTTGCCTGTAAATACCTGGCCAAAATGGTTTGGGTTTCCTAGGTGCCTGTGATGCCACTGGAGATGTACGAGGTCGACTCGTACAGAAATTAGAAATTATATGGGTCTTTATCCCGTTTCTTTGAAACTGTTCCATTGTCTGCCTGTTCCGGAAACTTGGCAGACACAGCTTTTCCCCTGTTCATCTAGGTAGTCACAATGCCTCCCGTATAGTTGGTTGAACAGATCAGTGCTAAGTATGTGATAGCATTTTAGGGTTTTGGTTTTTGTTTGTTTTCATCCCCACCTTTCTTTGACTAGGGTTTCTTTCTCCTAATACCTCATTACTTTTTCTTAAATATATTTTCCTAATATTTGATTAAAATTTTTGCAATTTGTAAATGGATAATAAGTTTCCTCAAATTTATAACTGAGGTTACCCCTTTAAGTCACCTACAGACTAATTTCTTGATCTTCTTGCACATTTCCTTCTACTCAGTACTTGTCATTACTACTCAGTACTTGTCATTACATTTTCCCTAAGCTCTGTTTCTGGTCGTCGCTGGTCTCCTCTGTCACAGCTGATACTGTAGGGTTTACAGGAAGTATGGCAGGTCCACTTCTGCAAACATGGAATTTGAACTAGATCATCACGAGTCTGTGCTGTTACAGTCTTTAGGCATTACAGGGTACGTTGAAGCCGAGTATAACCAAATCTGGCATTACAGGCTTGTTCTGTATAAAGTTGCCAGTAAACTGGAGACAGTGTGCTGTGTTAAATAGTTCTGGACTAGGTCTGGGAACCTAGGTCTTAAACTTTGATGTAGTTTCATTTGTCTCATTTACAGTATGAAATAAAATGGCAGTGATGACACCAGCGTTTTATACCTCACAGAATTGTTGATCAGAACATATAAGATGATCGGTGTTAACGTGATTGGGAAAAAACCCGTTGCCATCGAGTCGATTCTGACTCCTAGCGACCCTGTAGGACAAAGTAGAACTGCCCCACAGGGTTTCTGAGGAGTGCCTGGTGGAGCGCCTGGGGGATTCGAACTGCCGACCTTTTGGTTAGCAGCCATAGCTCTTAACCACTGCTGCCATCACGGTTTCCATTAAAGTGATTAGTAAATGTAAAAAGCACTTTTCGGGAAAGTGGTTCTTCTGGTCAGTGTTTCTGGAGTAATGCTTGTGGAAGGAGCAGTGAGGGAGGAAGGCATCTGACAAAGGTAGTGTAGCCATATCCAGGAAATTAACTTTGGCTGACACTGATGGCTTGTTAAGCTTAGATCCTATGAAGCACAATGTGTTGATAGTAATATTCGAAGCTTATAGTTTTATACTACCACCAATATTTGTAACTCTACAATGAAGTGACAGAGATCAACTGTTAGACTTTAATCTTCAAGGATCTCAGGGTTATCTCCAGGATGTTCTGCATACTGATAATTTAATGTACCTTTTTGCTCTGTTCTTTTGTTTCTGTTTTGTCTTCTTTCATTAAACAAAAAACAACCGTTGCTGTTGAGTCAATTCCGACTCATAGCAACCTTATGAGTCTTCCCTCGTAGGTGCTATATAATTATATTTAGCTTTATTTTCACTATTTTGAGAAAACTCAGCACCATTCGCGTTTTTCTTTAAATTTTGTTTTAACATTTCTGATAAAGCATCTCATTTCATTCTTAAAAACCTATGTGACCCTGCTCTCAAAGGAGCAACTACAAGCAAACAAGTTTTTCAGGGATGCCTTGGTGATCTTCATAACCACATAGGCTGGTCGGTTTTCCTATAGTGCTACCAGTGTTTCCAGCCTCACAGGAAAAAAGTGAACATGTCTATTTAGAGTTTAAATGGGGAAGTGAAAGGCTCGCCTAGTCATTTCCTTCTGCCAGCTGTAATTGATTTCAGCATCGTTGTTGCTATTGTTAGGTGCTGTTGAGTCAGTTCCAACTCATAGCGACCCTGTGTACAACAGAACGAAGCGCTGCCCGGTCTGCATCATGCTCATAATCGTTACTATGTTTGAGTCCATTGTTGTAGCCACTGTGTCAATCCCATTGAGGGTCTTCTTCTTTTTCGATGACCCTTTACTTTACCAGGCATGATGTCCTTCTCCAGGGACTGGTCCCTCCTGATAACATGTCCACAGTATGTGAGGTGACATCTCACCATCCTTGTTTCTAAGGAGCATTTTGCTGGTACTTCTTCCAAGAATGAACAAATCTGTCTTGATATCAGCATCGATAGTGGTTATAGCACTTATTCCAATAGCAGAGTTAAACTACATAATAGTAAAATTTGCCATGTAAAATTATGTTATAGTTAAAACGGTTCTAAACATGGTGTTAACATTTAATTTTTGCTTATGCTGCTAAGCGGCATGGAGAAGTCCCCTTCTTCATGTTGGTTGGATTTACTACCACACTTCCCCTCTGAATCTGTGTTGGGAGGAAATCCATTATCCCCTTGCTCTTTAACTTTGATGAGGTCGGTGACTCTTTCTAACTCGTCTTTATGACCTCCACAGATAACTGGCACAAATAGGGATGTGCCACCACTATCACCAGTCTGTTGAGATACCAGGTTATACCTGTTGCATTAGGTTACTTTAACAAACAGCATCTGTCACGGATTTAATTGTGTCCCCCCAAAAATGTGTGTATCAATTTGGCTGGGTCATGATTCCGTACCATTCTGTAATCTGATGTGATTTCTTTATGTGTTGTAAACTCTATCACTATGATCTAATAAGATGGATTAGTGGCAGTTATACTGATGAGGTTTACAAGATGAGATAGTGCCTTGAGCCAGTCTCTTTTGAGATATAAAAGAGAGAAGGGAGCAGAGAGACATGGGAACCTCATACCACCAAGAAAGCAGTGCTGGGAGCAGAGTGTGTCCTTTGGACCTGAAGTACCTGTGCGGAGATGCTCCCAGACCAAGGAAAGACTGATGACAAGGACCTACCTCCAGAGCCAACAGAGAAGAGAAAGCCTTCCTTCCCCTGAAGCTGACATCCTGAATTTGGACTTGGAGCCTACTGGACTGTGAGAGAATAAACTTCTCTTTGTTGAAGCCATCCACTTGTGGTATTTCTGTTATATCAGCACTAGATGACTAAGACAGCATCTTAAAGTGTTATTTCCCCATTCGAATTTGCAAAAAACAATCTATGAACAAAAAATGAGAAATTACCAAGGTTAATTTATGAGTCAGCAATATTCTAATCCTTCAAAGTGGTTGTGCTTATATTATTCCTTTGTTGTCGCCTTCCTGTTCTTACATCTGCCTGCTGATAAAGTGTTTCCAAGAACAGAACTCTCTCAATTGTTAAACTGTTTTTATCTGCCTAGGGTACTTTCTCCCCTAAAATTCATGATGAAATGGTCAAGAGTGAATTATCTGTTTTTTCTCCTAGGTTCTGTTTAACTGGCTTAATTACTCCCAAACTAAATATCCATGTCTAAATACTGTGCTGTATTACATCACATGATTCAGTATGGTACTGAAGTAAAAATTGAATAAATAGCCTGAGGGGGCTGAATATGTGTGGAGGAGCTGTTTTCAGAACCTGTTCAAGTGGTAAAGCAGCTAAAAGGCATGGTTTGTCTTCTAGAATTTTACAAGATATATATTTCCCCCTACAAAGAAGGAATAATTTTACAAACAGAAATTCCTATTACATGTATATAGGTTGCCAGAAAATAGTTGTATTACATTTTAAAAGGTAAACTGTAAGAGGATATCTGTTTATGAAGTTTTATAAGCAAAATAAGCGTAAGAGGTTGAACAGAGACTTGCTCCCCAGTGTCATACTTTGTAATTAAATACACATCTAGTATTTACAGGTGTGTGTGCCGGGCACTGTGCTAGGTGTTGGCAATATACTGTAACGACTTTCAGTTTCTGCTTTCATTTTGGAAATGTTAGATAGTTGTCTAATTATGTGGGAAATTTAAAAAAGATCCCCAGAATATCCTGATGTTTTTCTAATACCTAGTAAAAAGTGAGAGAAGATAATAGGAAGCTTTTCTGATGATTGAATTTAGGGAAATACGTTTGTTCACTTTACAGTGAGTACCAAAGACTTAAGAAAACTTAACACTGAGAGTTGTAGTGATTAAAAATTTGGAAGAGATTGCCAGTTTTCAATCTTCAGTGATAGCATGCTTCAGTCACACTTGAGCTTAATTCTGGAGTAATAAGTGTTACCGGAGTAATGAGTGTTACTGGAGTTGTGCATGTTTGGTGTTTTTGGTTATAATCTTGAGGTCTTTTCTCCGGCTCTTGTGTCTAAATGGAAGAGGTTGCTTGGTAAGGGTCACTTTTAGTTGACTTTTCCCAGTATAGAGAGGAAGAGGGTTGCTGCCAGAAAACAATCTGAAGTGCTCATTGAAGATGTGTGTTAAAATGACTTTAAAGTAAAAGCTGTGTATTAGAGATAGAGGAACTGCTAAATAAGTCAAGCTTATTGTATTTTAAGTGGTTTTTTTTTTTTTCATTAATTTCTTAAGATTGCCTGATTTGGTGTTTTCCCAGAGAATTAGAAATGCCCTATTCCTATATATAAATAAACTGACTTTTCCAAGCAAATACGTTGGTGTGGAAAAGTCAGCATTTGCCATTTTCTCTGTGCTCACAAGTGGGTTCTTAAAAATGTTAAACCTTTTGGGAATGCTTGTAACCTTCCCTTGAGCATCAGGTAAGAATTCAAACCAGGAAGAGAGCCTCTCAGTCTTGGTGGGGATATGAATTTATTTTACCATGTGAAATCTGACACTTTAGAAAATTTCTATGGTAGTTTTGTTATTGTTCTGGAAAACAGTGCTTTTCCTGTACAACTTTGTGCATCTTTTGAGTATAGTCATGACAGAGTAGATAAGGCAACCATAAAACATGACCAAATCTTTATTTTAGAAGACTAGATGATGTAAGTGTGAATGGCTGGCACCATTTTTTTAAATTTATTTGATAAGTATTTTTTTTTAATATCATAGTATAGAAGGTTTTTGCAAGGAAAAGCATTAGTCAGTCTCCAGATCCTACCCTCTTTTCTGTTCCATTGGTGTCAACCGCTTTTAATTTTGTTTTAGTATTTCTAGTGATACTTTATATTTCTTACAAAATATGCTCTTTACTGCTGTTTTCCAAATAACTTTAGACACCTATTGACTTATTCTAACAGGAGTAAACTACTCGTCTACCACCTCTAGCCCCCATAGTTAAGTCACTGAGTAGTTGCACTGTTAACCAGTTGATTTTCATGATTTCTTCAATATACCTAAACCTCTGTTTCTTACTCCATCAACCAAAGGGAGTATCTCTAGACTCCTCACCTTATAAAAAGGAGGATATTGGCACCCACACCCTTGCCTGGAAAAACTAAAATTAAAACTCATGGCCTAAGTTAAAATACATAGTTGCATAAACAAAGACATTCATCAGGCTCTGAAAGCTTATTCCAAACTATATGAGAAAGGCATGTTGTAGATACGAAGTAAATCAAAATGTGGCATAGTTCATTTACTGAACAGTTACTGAATAGATAGACTTCTTTAAGTGGCTTAGGAATTGTGACATTGAAGCTATAGAGGGGGAAATATAAATCATAGAATACTACGTAGCTTGGCTGATTTTTGAGAATGTAAATGCTTTTTGTTGTTGTATGCCATGGAGTCACTTCCAGCTCATAACAACCTTATATGACAGAGTAGAACTGCCATGGGGTTTCCTGGGCTGTAACCTTTAAGGAAGTAGCCCTGGTGGCACAGTGCTTAAGGGCTTGGCCACTGACCAGAAGGCTGGTAGTTCAAACCCACCACCACGCCATGGGAGAAGGATGTGGCAGTCTGCTCTGTAAAGATTACGGCTGTCATGGATTGAATGGTGTCCCCCAAAAAATATGTGTAGCAGCTTGGCTAGGTCATGATTCCCAGTATTGTATGATTGTGTAATCTGATGTGATTTCCTTATGTGTTGTAAACTCTGTCACTATGATGAGATTATATGCGATCTCCTTATGTGTGGTAAATTCCATCACTGTGATGAGGTTTTACTGATGAGGCTTACAAGATTAGATAGTGTCTTAATCTAGTCTCTTTTGAGATATAAAAGAGAGAAGCGAGCAGAGACAAATGGGAACCTCATGCCACCGAGAGAGCAGTGATGGGAGCAGAGGGCGTCCTTTGGACCTGAGGTTCCTGCGCTGAGATGCTCCCAGACCAAGGGAAGACTGATGCATCACAAGGACTTTCCTCCAGAGCCGACAAAGAGAGAAAGCCTCCTCCTGGAGCTGGTGCCCTGAATTTGGACTTGTAGCTTACTGGACTGTGAGAGAATAAATTTCCCTTGTTAAAAGCCATCCACTTGTGGTATTTCTGTTAGAGCATCACTAGATGACTAAGACAAGGGCCTTGGAAACCCTATGGGACAATTCTACTCTGTGCTATAGGGTAGCTATGAGTCTAAATTGACTCGACAGCAGTGGGTTTGATTTTTTGGAATCTTTACGGAAGCAGATCGCCGGGTCTTTTCTCCTGCGGAACAGCTGGTGGGTTTGAACTGCCAACATTTCTGTTAGCTCTCCTTACTAGTTTTCAGTTTCTAGAATCAACCTCTATCCAAGGGATAAAAGATTTAATTAATTTAAATCACAACCTAGGACACGCATGCAGTAGGCAGCTGAAAACAAATATTTTCAGTGAACAATGAGAAAAGTACTACAAACAGTACTGTTTTGTTTTCTATTATAATTCTGAAAGGAAAAAGAAGGCGATTGTAACCCAATAAATTCATTTCATGACCAGACCATTGAACTAAAGCTAAAGCTCAAGGATTAATAGGGTGGAGGTGGGAACTAATGTGCACCTTTTCAGCGGATAAAAAGTAAAGTGAAAAATAAGTTACTGATGGTTATAAAATTTTTTCTTTCCTTCACAGGACATTGGCTCTCTGGATTATCAGGGGCTTGTAGTTGACATTGAGGCCAGGCTGAGGATGGAAGGTGTGGAACTTAAGGAAGAATGGCAAGATGAAGATTTTCCAATGTGAGCAATGTCGTCAAACAAAAACAAATTTAGAGCAAAACTTTAAAAAAAATTCTCTATTGAGATGTCACTTACTAAATGAATATTGGGCTTCTAAAAGAATCCCAGTATCACAAAGTGATCGTTTGAATACTGGGAAATGAAAGTTCCTTTCCAGCAGAATAATTCTCTTGTAACTTACTTTCCAACCACATATATATATGTAATCTTATAAACAGTAGTTCTACACAAATAACGTGTGTGTTACACTTTTTTTTTTATTTTTTATTTTTGGCCAACTATACAACCCCTTTGTGCGTTATCTTCCTAGGCATGCTATGTGCATTATATGTGTGGATACACTGTTTGCATAGGTGTCTTATTTGCGAAAAATACATAATCTTTCATTTTTGTTTTGAACATTTAAGTTTCAGAATTTTGCTGTCACTAGCAATGCGTTAATGAGGTATTTCTTAAGCTGGGATATGAGGGGTTCCTGGGAGGGGAGGGATCTTTAATTATGTACAAGAATTTGAAAATTTGTGTTTTTATTTAAAGATAAAGCTTTTTAAGTAAATGAGGGTTTTCTAGATCATCTGGCCAGGCACTTGGACACGTGTTTGCATTTATATTTACAATTGTTTTGGCACCATGTGGATTAATGAAAAAAAGAGCAAAGGCAGACTTTAAACGATGCTTCCTTGCCAGCATGGTCAGAAGACATCCCAGTCTACTGTAAGGTGCCTTAGCATTTGGAGTCTGGACAGCTGGTGGGAGAGCTGAGTCCTTGCATAGCTCAGGATGGTGCTAGCAGTGTAGGATTTTAGCCTTCATCGTGAGTGGCAGTTTAGCTGCATCATACATGGTATTAAATTCATGCATTTGAATTATCTTTGTTTTGTAGGTTGTTTATAATTTTTACATTAGTTTTGTGGTTGTATAAGAACTGTTACATAAGAAGTTTATGTTTCCTTTTATGTGTTACTTACAGGCATTATGTCAACTCTGACCGTCTGAGAATTTTTTTGAAGTGGTTCTTTATTACTAAAGTATAAGAAATGGTGCTTTACTCAGTGTTCTGTACAATTATAGAAGCTATTTTTAAAGATCTTTGAATTTCTTAAATTTTTTAAAATGTTTGGATTTAGAAGTATGTATGTGTATTTCTTTCAGACCTTTACCAGAAGATGATAGTATTGACGCAGATATCCTAGATATAACTGGACCAGAGAGCCAGCCTGGTAAGAGCTTGACACTTTTCTGTTTCAGTGAAATGATAAACTTTAACTGTGCTATTTTTGAACACATTTCTTTTTTAAGGAAAAAAATACACTGTGTTTTTATTCTATCACAGGGAGCCAAAGGATAAATTAAACTTTCAGGCAGTTTTGGAATGCTTTAGATATTTTTGGAAATTGAACTTCCAAAAACATACCTTTGGTTTTTTTTAATTTGTACAATAAAGGGAGGGTGGTCGTTTAGTAGTGAGAGGTAACTATAAGGTCTGCCTCTAAGATTTAAAAAGATGTACCCTTACGGAGTTATCTCATTGATCTCTTGCCGTGACATAGAAGCAATAGTGATAAAAATTCAAAGTTTGTAAATTAACCAGTGCACAAGAATTGTGTTTAATTAATGTTCCCTTTCTCAAGAATGAAGTGGTTAAAAATTTTCTCTTGCTCAACTTGAGCATCTCAGCATTCTTTCTCATATGTCCCTCACTTGGTTTTCCATTCCAGACTCACTAGAAGTTAATGGGAATAAATTAAGAAAGAAACTAATGGCCCCAGACATTAGCCTGACGCTGGATCCTAGCGATGGCTCCGTGTTGTCAGATGATCTGGATGAAAGTGGGGAGATCGACCTAGATGGCTTAGATACACCATCAGAGAACAGCAATGAGTTTGAATGGGAAGGTAAGTGTGTCACTGTTTTTACCTGGTTTTTATTAATGAGTGTTTGTCTTTATACACGTACACGTTTTTTAAAGTGGCGTTCTCATATTAGGAAGATTGGAAAAACTTTAAACTTGATCATGAGACCAGCTAAAATCATTGTATTAAGAGATTTCGTTTGACATAAGAAGTTATTCCTTTTCAGGTTTATACATTTGTGACTAAGATAGGAAGTTCTGCTAAAACAGAATATTCTCATGGCTTTCAAAACCGTTTATAGAAGATGACGCAGGTGGCTTTATTCATTTATTTTTTTAAATTAATTGCCCCAGTGCTGTAAAGGTAGCTCGTGATTGTTCCAAAAATACTGTTTGATAATTATGGTGTGTTCTTTTATTCAGTTGATCAGCTAAGAAAAAAAAGAAAAATTTTCTTTAAAAAAAGCCTTTAGAGTGACATATAATTTAGTGAATATACTAAAAGTATTAAGAGTTTGGGGAGAGAGGATCTGAAGAAGGGAATTTGGGGGGAGTGTTTTTTTAATAGGTTTGCTTAATAGTGTTGTACGTCGTGAAAAGACTAACTTTTATTAACATGTACTCTCAGCCCCAAAGCCTTAATCCCTTATCGTTCGTTATTTGGAATTCAAAGGAACGGGCATGTGTGTTGCTTTGCATGCTTTCTTTAATTAGATAGTTGCTATCTACCGTATCTTTATATAGTTGTAAATAATTTATATATATTCCATCTTTAAAATGATTTTTACTTCAAAGCAGTGTTTAGCGTGAGGTATCTGCAATAACCAGTAAGATTTTTGATACATCTGTTGTACCTTTTCTCCCTGTTTTGCTGGTTCAGTAAGCATTCCGGTCATAAGCGATGTTTTATAAAGACACTGAGAGCTTTCTGCCTGTGTGTTTTCTCTCTTCTCTCTTTAATGCTGCTGTAGTCATTTCCCGGAAGGATATTTTCCGTTAACAGCTTTGTCTCGGAAACAGACAACTAACATGCAGTAGGTTCCCCTTCCCCATCTTTGGTAAGGACTGTGAGACGAAAATTCTGAAAATCATTAATTACTTCATTAAAAAATCAGCTAAAATGCAGTCTTGAAACATAAATTACACCTATTAGTGCTTATGTTTTGGCTAATGTTGATTTAAATACACTTTTTTTTTTTGCATGCACACTTCAGAATATTATAAATAAATTGCTGATTTATAAAACTGATCAAATGAGAAATGATTGTTGCTAGTTAACCACTTTCTATCTGATATTATACTGTTTGGAGAATAATTTATGTGCTCAATAAAAACAATTGGCTTCCAGCTAGTACTTTAAGTCACCCACAGTGGTAGCTGTCAAGGACGATATTTTCAGAGAATCAGAAAGGCATTAGAGGGCCAGTATACTAAGATTTTGATGGTTGTATGACTTGTCTGAACGTGTGGATATACACTGCACTATGATTAGGTGCTTTGCTGAATTAGACAATTTAAAAAAGTTAAAGAACGATGATTTCCAAAAAGCATAAAATGGCCTCGTATTGAGAGCAAGCCTTTCTTCCTATTATGAAAGAGATGTTTAAAATTCTGCAGATGGAATAATGAAAAATGTTCTGAATAATCAAATTAGATAGTAAAGTGGTTAACATATAATTTGATTTTTACTGTGAAAATAACAATTTGTAATTGAAAAACCTTTTGTTTTGACAGATGATCTTCCAAAACCCAAAACTACTGAAGTAATTAGGAAAGACTCAATGACTGAGTACACAGCGGCAGAGGAAAAGGAAGACGGACGGCGCTGGCGTTTGTTCAGGATTGGAGAACAGGACCACAGGGTGGACATGAAAGCAATTGAACCCTATAAAAAAGTTATCAGCCATGGAGGTGAGAGTTACACAAGATTGTTTAGATTCTTTTCATGCAATACCATATCAGAAATGTAACGTTTGTAGAAAATCTCCCTTGAGATATTACATAATTTTGAAAGAATAATAAACATTTCCACTATCATTATAGGAAAATAACAGGTTTGAAGTAAAAGGATAAAACCAACATTTTAAAATTGTTAATACATGCATACAGTAAATTCAAAAGGTACAAAAATGGTGTGCAGTGAAAACTGTCTCCTTTCAACCCCTACCTTTTAGTCACTCAAAACTGGGACTTTACTTTTTCCCCTTTTTATTGAGGTATAATCTATATACAGTGAAATACTCTGCTCTTAAGTGTACAGTTCAGTGAGTTTTGACAAGTGCCTATTTAACCACATACATATATGGGTATGTATGGTTTGACAAATGCCCATATAACCATATACATGTATGGGTATATGTGGTTTGACAGATGTGCATATAACCATATATACCCATATCTGTATATGATTATATGGGCATTTGTTAAAACTCCCTGAACCGTACACTGAACTGAATAAAAACGTTCTGTATCTTTAGAAGCGTGGGATATATGGTATGTCCCACACTTCTGAAGATACAGAACATTTTTATTGACCCAGAAAATTTTCTCGTACCCCTTTTCAGTGAATTGCCCCTCTCAATGACCACTGTTCTAGTGCCTACCCCGGGATTAATTTTGCGTGTTCTAGAAGTTCATCATGTAGTGTGCACTCTTTTCATTCTTCTGCTCACAGTGTTTTGGAAATTCATCCATGTGGTTGCATGTATCTATAGTTCATTCCTTTTTATTGCTGAATGGGAGTCCATTGCATGGATGAACTACAATTTGCTTATCTGTCCTCTTCATGGATGCTCGAATTGTTTTCAGTATTGGCTATTATGAAATGTTCACGTCTTTTCGTAGATATAAGTAAAATCTTGGACTTTTTCAACTGTGTCTCAATTTACTTTTAACACTCTGAACACACACAAGGACCACAGTTAGGGCAACTTCTTAGTCATAACCAAACACCTCACAAGACAGAGTTCCCAGGTTCGAAGGTGAAGGACCGTAGACTTGGGGGATGTCTACATCAGTTGGCACAGCATAATTCATAAAGACAATGTTCTGCATCCTGCTTTGGTGAGTAGTGTCTGAGGTCTTAAAAGTTTGCGAGTATCCATCTAAGATACAACTCTTGGTCTCTTACATCTGGAGCAAAGGAGAATTAAAACCAAAGACCCAAGATAGCAGTTAGTCCAAGGGACTAATGGACCACATGGACCATAGCCTACATGACCTAGAGACCAGAAGAACTAGATGGTGCCTGGCTACCACTACTAATCGCTCTGACTGGGATCACAACATAGCGCCCTGGACAGAGCGGGAGAAAAATTGCAGAACAAAAAAATAAATTCTCAAGAGACCAGATATACTGGTCTGAGAGAGACTGGAGGAACCCCCAAAACTATGGCCCTAAGACCCCCTTCTGAACTGGAACCGGAACCATTCCCGGAGACCGCCTTTCAGCCAGACCATAGACAGGCCCATAAAATAAACAGTAGCAAGCAGGATGAACTTGCTCCTTAGAACAGTCAATTATATGAGATCAAAAGGGCAACATTTGCCCCAAAGCAAAGATGAGAAGGCAGGAAAGGGTAGAAAACCAGGATGAAGGGAAGTGGGGAACCTCGGATGGAAATGGGGAGAGTGCTGACACATTGTGGGAAATGAAGTGTCATGAAACCAGTGTCATGGAACACTAATAGAACGGGAAGCTAATTCGCTCTAAAGTTTCACCTAGTGCACAATACAAATAAATAAAGGAAAATATCCTGAACCAATCAACTCTACCACAAAGTAGAGCACGGGTCCATTTCACATTTTTGTGGGTTACTTACTTTGCGTATTTGTAGGGTATACAAAGATAGAAGGCATGCTCCCTCTGCTTAACAAATTTTTAAGTCAAATAGGAAAAGCTATGAAAGTACAAGTTACAGCTTCTGTTTGTGCTGTATATAGAAGCTTACCTGGTCACCGTAAATAGTGCCAGAATGTTAGTGGTAGTCAAAAAGAGCAACTGACTTAAAATATTAAATTGGTAAATGTTGTGTTCTATATATATTTTTTACACCAATGTTTTTAGCATTATTTTTTTAAAAAGGGACAACTCACAGTGTATCATATTTTAAATCGTCCTAGCACAGGAGAGAGGGGACACGTAGGTGAAGCAGATTAATTTATTATATAGAGTCATTTCCACTTAATTTATTCTTTGCTGAATGCATCCCCCTGCTTATTTCTACAGTCTTCATTCATCTGAAAGCAAATCACTTGAATATTTGCAGTCACATTCTTCTGCCTAATTGAGTCATATTCAGATGAAGAAAACAGGATAATCTGGATCAGGAAGTCCACAGCTCTGCATTAATTCAGCTAGTTCATAGGAAGCAAGCTGTGAGACCTGTCTTATGCTTTAAACCTAATGTCTTTCAGAAATGGCGCTTTATTTCTCTTAGGGGAAAATAATTAAGGCCTTCTTAAACCCTGTTGGATTACCACGTTTAGTGTGTTTTGTGACCGAGGGATTAAGGATGGTAGTGAGGATTCCTATGTGCTTGAAATGTTAAAACCTTACAATAGAAATGAAGGTTAAAGCAAAAATATTTGTTACTGGATACAGCTTAATATCTAGAGACTGTAATTGATACACACATTTTAGCACTATTTTTCTTCACTTAGAATTATGTCAGAGATGCGTAATCTTTTCTTAGTTTTAACATCCTGCAGTCTACAAAGTGCTAGGCATTGTTGAAAATAAAACTATCTTAAAAAGCATCCGCTTTGACTATAAACTGAATAAGGATCCATCATAAAAGTTGAGGTGTTGGTTGTATCTGCTGGGATTCTATCATTGTATTTGTCTACTTGCTAAGATAAGGCTGGGTTTTTAGTTACGCCAGGTGAGATGGGTTTTTTTAATTTGCATGCTCACCTTCTTTCCTCTTCATGTTTTGCTTTCTTTTTGGGAAGGGGGGATTTAAAGATCTGTAGAAGACTACATAGAGTAAAAAACCTTATTGACCCCGAAGTTTGTGGAAGATCATCTAATCTATCAATCTTACAGATTCCTCTGAAAAATCTTCTGAGTAAAATAACAGTGGTAATTTTGTCTGTGTTTCCTTCCCTCCCCCTCCCCCAGGGTATTACGGGGACGGATTAAATGCAATTGTTGTATTTGCTGTCTGTTTTATGCCGGAAAGTAGTCAGCCCAACTACAGATACCTGATGGACAACCTCTTTAAGTAAGTACATCTTCACAGAAACGTTTGGACAGAATTCTAAGCTCATTAGATCTTCAGTTTAAGGACGTGCACTTTGGCAGTGTAAAAATTGCACATGTCCCAGTTGTGATTCTTTAAATCCTTGTTCCTTAGCGCATGAAACTACAGTTTTTCCACTCTACAGAAAAATTACCAAATTCTAGAACTGGAAAGGATACTTCACATCCTTTCCAACGCCTTTATTTCACATGTGAGGACACATTAAGTCTGAAGAAGTGACACTTATTCTGGCATCATGGCTGCATTACAGTCAGCACTAGAAGCCACATATACTGAGCTGACTCAGGTCAGTTACATTTCCACAGAGTCACTCTATTTCTCAGCTTAGTGCAGTTTTTTACAACTTTATTGTGTAAAATTTCACACATAACAAAGGTAGGGAGAAGGATGTTGAGCTTCTGTGTGCCAGTCACCCAGCTTCCACAGTGATCAGTTTACTATATTCCCACTCTTCCTCCCTCCACTGTATTATTTAGCAGCAAATCCCAGATGTTAACTCATTTCATCTGTAAACATTTCAATATGTATCTCTAAAACTTAAGAACTCTTTAAAAACACATCATAATGCCAGTTTTAAAAACTTAATAGTTTTTGCGTTTATTGAGGACTGAGGGGAATTGTGTAATTTGTAGAACCTAGTTCAGTTCTACACAGCAGTATTTAAGGCTTAATCTTAATTTGTTTTTACAGATATGTTATTGGCACTTTGGAGCTGTTAGTAGCAGAAAACTACATGATAGTTTACTTAAATGGTGCAACAACTCGAAGAAAAATGCCCAGTCTGGGATGGCTCAGGAAATGCTATCAGCAAATTGATAGAAGGTAATGTAAATGCAAGTTGAAGGCTAGCCTGAATAATTTTTATATTGGCCTTATTAGATTAAATCTTATTTTCTGTTACCACATGTACCCATGTATCTACTTCCTAAATTACATTTATGTATTTCATAACAGATTATTTTGTCAAAGCAGTATTTCAGAATGTCATGAAGGAAATCAATTTTGATCTCTTTTAACCTTTCGGTATATCAAGACAAATGATTTCTCCTTACTTCTACACAGTGTGTACTGTCCTGCAGTTTACATCTTGAGAAAGGCTGGAGAACTCATTACGTTTCCTATTTTAGTACATTCTCTGAGTTCTTGCCTACTTTATAGTGCTTAGTGTGTTTTATGTTTTTGTAGAGATGCTTGTTTAACTGTGGTTTGTTTTAGAATGAGCTCAGAGAAATGTATTTCCTGGGAGTTAGACATCCATGCTGATGGGAGGAACTTAGATCCTCCAGGTGGTTTGATTTGGCTGTAACTAATTTGAACTAGTTTGATCGACTCAGACTAATTAATAGTTTTCTCTTTATGCCTTAACAGGACATGGGCAGTTCTTGTAATTAAAAAAAAAAATTCTTAACGGCCTCTTTATTTTTGCACGAAAATTTTTTTTTTAAGTTTTCATTTAGCCACTGTAAAAAGAAGAGGCCTAGGATAATGCTTTTAATATTTTCTCCCGTACCCCATATTGTTTTGAAACCAATTCCAGATGTTGTATCATTTCATCTCTAGATATTTCAATATATATCTAAAAGATAGGGACTCTCTCTTTTAAATAATCATACTATTTAGTGCAGTTTTAAACTCCTTAAGAGCAGGAGGAGTGAGGTCCGGTTCACATTCTCTTCCTGTGGTCTCGCCCACTCCTACCTCTTTACCTGCACAGTGCCTTTCGTGGTATTGAGGGGGTCAGTGCCAGTTCTCTTCCAGTCCTGGAAAATGAAACCAGTCTGCTCTGTATTGAGTATTGGCCTCCACCTCTGATTGACAGGGTCTTGAAAACAAGTGAATGTGTACTTCAGAGGCATTTAAAAACAGGCTCTGCCATGGATATAAATTTGACCAAATGAAGTAAGGTTTATTTCAGAGTGACAAGAGGGACCCTAAGAATTACAGGAGTGCGTTTTCTTGCCTTCAGGAGGACCCCACCTAATTGAGAACTCTTGGATGAGCTTTTTACAATTATTTGTATAAACTTGCACAAACTTAATGATGTCTTAATTTTCCTTCTAGCATTAGAATATGTAGAGATTTTTTTTTCTTTTCTTTTTAACTCCAGGTTACGGAAAAACCTAAAATCTCTAATTATTGTACATCCCTCTTGGTTTATCAGAACACTTCTGGCTGTTACAAGACCATTTATTAGGTAATTTTCTGGAAAACAAAAACAAAACTCTTTGTATAAATTTCTTGTCAGTTCTGTTGATCAGAAATATTGAGGTAATTGTTTTTATTTTCTCCCATAGCTCAAAATTCAGCCAAAAAATTAGATACGTCTTTAATCTGGCAGAACTAGCGGAGCTTGTCCCCATGGAATATGTTGGCATACCAGAATGCATAAAACAGTATGTTTTGTTTGTTTTATTTACTTAATTGTCTTAGATCTTTATATTTTGATATGCAAGAGGTAAATATTTTTCAGTGGCTGTTCTTTCTCACTTCATCTATTATAAATGTTTTCTAATTGCCCTCTTTTTTATAATAAAGAAAAAGGGGGGGGAGCTGTTTTCGCACACCTTCCTAAACCTAGGCACTGCTTCCCCGTAAGTCACCATTTTCTTCAGACTGCCAGTTGAAGAGGAATAATTTCTGATCGTGACTTATTTTATATTTTGTAAAGACTGATCACAGTCCAAGAGATGATTTCCTGATTGGTCAGTACTGAAGGACATTCTCCACACTTGACATGAATCTTTCCAAATTTGAATAAGCTCATCATGTCATCAAAGAACCATATCATTAAAGCACTCAAATATTATTTATATCGGCCTAACCTTAATACTTTCCAGTGGCTGCAGTTTGTTCTGTTTACAAAATTCACTTCCATCTAACTTTTGAAAGGACTTGGTAGAGGGCTGTTAACATAAATACTTGAGCATCACAATATTATTATATAGAAAAGTTCCTTTGCTCAGTTAATCTGAGGTTTTAGTCTGCTTGATGTGTCCAAACCAGATTTGCCGAGTCAATTTTGACTTTATACATAGAGTAGTATATATTTTGTGTGTTGCCCACAAACGTTTATGGGTTTGTTTTTAGTACCTTTGAGTTTTTGTTCATCTTCATAACATGTATATTTACTGAAATAACTCTTCCCTACCAAGGTATGAAGAAGAAAAGTTAAAAAAGAAACAAAAAAGGTATATGCACACCTTGACTGGGTTGCATCTAGACTAGTCCATTTGCGTTGCACAGACTAACTCTTCCTTATTGGTTGGTTAGCTTGTAGACAAAGATAGTAGCATATGTAAATATAAATATACCCCAGCATCCAAATACAGGGTGAATCCAGAGTTCCTTATGCTAAATCTGACCTGGATTCACCCCGTATTAGCACCCCATAGAATGCCAGGTAGGCATTAAAGGCCAAAACCCCTCCCCCCAATTTGGTATAAATACTAAAGGTGAAACCGGAGAAATTACTAAGAATACTATTTAAAACATCAAATACTTTTAAGATTATATCTGTTTTCACCATTATCTTTAAATTTCTAACTTGTGCTTTTGAAATATTTATGCACACCTTTTTAAGGGATCATAATTTGTTTTCCTGGGGTTGATGATTATATTTGCAATGCATATATTCTTTGGCTAACCAACATTGGTTTCCTTAAATGCTTAAATTAAATGGCCTGCTAACCAGTTAAAGTCTACATGTGATAAAATGCCTAAAAGTTCAGTGTGCCATTTAACAGTGAAACACTCTGCTTTCCATTTAACTTTACTCTGAACGCTCTGCTTTGAGCATAACAAACTATCATCTTTTAGGATCTTGGCATAGAAGAGGAAAATCGGGTATAGAACAGGTGCCATTTTATGTTGTGCTTTACGGAGATGTAGGATTTGGGTCTAATTTGTTAATGTATTTTAAAATACTGACAATTCAGTTAGCAAAGCTAACTAATTCAGTACAATCTTGAGAGTTAAGGTGAGAGATCTATATATAGTTTTTGTCATTTTGACCATTCTGAGGAGCCAAGTGTAACTAATGGTAACTGGGACTTTCTTAACTTTGAACACGTTTGGGCCCAGTTGACCACGTGATAGACTCACAGCCTTACGTTTCTGTGTAACACTTCAGTTTAGTCAACACTTTTTGCCTGGAGATGTGAACAGTGATTTAGATCTTGCTGGCTTCTCATTCCTTCCTAGGCATTTGCCAGACAGCTGGCTGAAATGAAAAATATAATCTGATTGTAGAATATTTTGAAGCTAACTGTCTTCATGGCATTTCCAAGTGAAATGTCCTGGTTGTTAAAATGTGCCTTATCGTGCCTTTCAAAAAATTCTTAGTATTTAATCACTTGTCAAAAAGTAATTTAAGCATTAAGAAATTTAAAAATGGAACTCATTTTACTTTTTTACTTGAATCTATTGTTTGAAACCTACCACTATTATTTTATCTTGATTTTTTTTTTTTTTT